ATGTAATTGGATAAAATTTAATAAACAATTTTACATGTGATTGGGTAAAATTAAATAAATAATTTTAATAAAAAACTAAAGAAAATCATTGATAGTTGGGAGGGCATTGAAATTAAAGAATATTAGTAAAGGAATCCTATAAGAAAGTGGAATTTTAGCTTAAAGGAGATCAGAGAATCAAGGAGGCATAGATAAGAAGAAAGGGCATTGTAAGCATGGGAAGCAGATAGTGAGATTGTCTTGAGTTGGGAGATGGAGTTTCTTATTGGGAGAAAAACAAACAGGGCAATGTCATTGAATGGAAGATTGTGTGGAATTGGGATGAGAGAGGAAATATGGTAAGATGTAAGATAATCATAAAGGCATTGTGAGGGAGCAGCTTAGGAAGGCAGGTTTAAATGCAAACATAGGATTTTACATTTAATTCTGGAAGTAATTGGGAGCCACTGGAGTTTATTGAGTATAGGGTGTGACATGGTCCGACCTGTATTTTAGGAAGATCCTTTTAACTGCTGAATGTTGGACTGTTGTGGAGAGAGACTTGTGATGTATTCAACTAGAAAGCTAAAGCAATAATCCAGGCATAAAGAAATAGGGGCCTACACCTAGATGATGGCAATGTCAGCGGAAAGAAGGTGATGTGTATGAGACATGTTACGTAGGTAAAATCAACAGGCTTTGGTAACAGAGTGCGTAAGGGGATGAGAGTCCATGGGATTTTCTTGGCAAAAATACTGGGATGGTTTGCTATTTTTTTTCATGGATCTTTTTGTCAGGCAATCAGAGGTTGTGACTTGCCCAAGGTCGCACAGCTAGAAAGTGTCTGAGACTGCATTTGAACTCAAGGTCTTCCTGGCTCCAGGCCCAGTATTCCATCCAAAAAGCCAGCAGCTGCCTAACTAAGAAATATGAGGTAGTTGAAAAATAAAAAAAGGGAAAAAAAGGGGGTGGGACAAAGAAGAGAAGTCCATCTTTTTTTTTTTGACCCACTAAAGTGTGTGTGTGTGTGTGTGTGTATAAAAACAAGGTTTGAAGGTTGTTGTTTTTTTGGCCAAATAACCTAAAATAATAAACCTTTATATGCTCAATATCTGGGGTCTCAAATGTTGAGCTTTTGAGATGTGAATTGAGGTTAGGATAATTTGATATGTGCTTATTTCCTGCCAACTAAAGTAATTTTTTTTTCATTCTTATGCCACTAAATTAAATTGCCCCCCAACATAATTTCCTTATGTAATCCTCCATGCTGTTTGAATTGTATGTCTAAAGCCTTCATCTGTGATTTCAATCTTAATGTCAGTTATAAATAATAAAGCTATAATTTCATCCATCTCAGGGGTAATATAAACTGCCAGAGGAAAGCTAAATTGTGTTTGAAACATTCCCTAAAATGCATAGAAAAGGCTCCCTTTTTTCTATTGCACTAGAGAACCTTATTAAGATTAGTTATGCTAAGATAAATCCAGACTTTTGCTATTACAGCTGTATAATTCTCTGTAGTTGATACATGTGCTCTCGTATAAATGTATGTCCTTCAACAATAGGTCACTTAATTTAATAGAAATTTAAACACAATTTGTACTAGAAAGAGAATTGAATTCAATTCAACATTTGGCACCTACTAAGTATAAAGTACTAGATTAGGTAATAAAAGGGATACATAGATAGTGATAGGAATAATAATTATTATGATGATTATCATTATTTTGCAACTTTTGTTTTCTCTTTTTTTTGGTATCACATTTCCTGATACATCTCTCCAGTCCAAGAGATCCTTATAACAAAGAAAAAAATTTGAAAACAAGGAAAAATTCAGCAAATGTTGCCAAAGCTTTGAAAAAAGTCTACAGCCTTACATGTGTAATGTTATAATAACCTTAATATTTCACACCTCTCTCTCATTGAGCTAGCTCGATCATACCCATCTGCCCTCATACTGACAGATCTATGTTTCCACCAAAGACTACCACTCAATTATACTCAATTCCTCTCAGGGTCTTAGAGGTAAGCCTCTGTGCTCACCATTATTAGCTTTTGAGCCCACAATGATGCAATTCCATTTACATAAGCCAGGTAACACAAACTCCTGAAATTTTTAGATCTTAAAACATAATGACTTAATTGGTAATAAGGCAAAATAAATAATATTAACATAGGTCCTCAAATCAGTAACATATCATAATCCATGCACAAACCTACATCACACTGTCCCATCAATGTACGCAATTGCTATGGTAGCAAAGAGACAAATTCTTATAGAAATTTGACAGGAAAGTACATGAGGAAGGAAAACATTTGTGTACGGGGTAGCCCATAGCTCCGGATTGCAAAATGTGATGTCATTGGTCTCTTCAGCTATACCACCCTAAGTCATTTCAGGACTAACTGCCTGTCTGCTGGTATTTACCACCCTCCAGCTATTTGGTGTTGTTGTTCTTCAGTCATTTCAGTCATGTCCAGTTCTTTGTGACCTCATTTAGGTTTTTCTTGGCAAAGATGCTAGGTTGGTTTGCCATTTCCTTCTCCAGCACATTTTACAGATAAGGAAACAGAGGCAAACAGGATTAAGTGACTTGTACCAGGTCACACAGCTAATAGGTGTCTGAGGCCAGACTCGAACTCAAGTCTTCCTGACCCTGCCACCTAGCTACCCTGTCTTCAGCTAGACAAATCCTCTAATCTTCTATTCTTGAAACAGCATCACATGTCCAGTCTCTTTCCATTCACAGTCACCCTTTGGAAAAAGCATCACAGAGTTCAAAAGGATGAACTTACTAGGCATTACAACCCAGGCCAGGCCATCCAGCTGCTCACTCACTAGGATTCTGCATCTTACAATCATAATGGAACTTCTCCCCACCTCCTCCCACCCCCCCGGGGGGAAAAAAAAAAAAAGCTATGGTTGACTCTCTGAGCCGGGCAGAGAAACCTAACTGCTTCATTCGTTACTATTCTCTTTCATCCAATTGGACTCCAGAACATCTTCCTGTATAACAAAGCAACTCTGAGACCTCTGTTCCCCCTTCCTGCTTTTCACTCTCAGACTAGAAGGAGGTGGTCTGCAAAGAAAAACAGGTGTTTCTGAGGAGATTCTCTCTACGTGGCCCTAAAGGTAATAGCCGTCATTCTGTAGCCAGTCAGGAACAAGCAGTCAGCCTTCTTGTGGGCTGCTATTTTCTTCATACAGTTCTGGCAAAGCTACATTTAACGCCTTTTGCCTCTCCACCGCTGTTTCAGGCTTCTTCTGTCCATTCTTGACCACGCCAGCTTCAGCCTTTTACACTTTGTATCTCTCAGTGGCTTAAAACCTTGCTTCATATTACTCAGTGGTTCTCAGCCTTCATATATGAGTTAAAAACTCACCAGATTTACCTTATGAAATCAGTGGTCCTCGTCTATTCATTCTCCAGATTCTAAAAATATTAAATGATTTTTCAGTCTTACGCTCTTAAGTCTTAAAATAATTATGTGGAAATGACCATAGTTCCTTGAAACTCTTAGATCTCAAAAGGATTCTCCTCAGTCTTTGTTCTTGAAACTGTGTTTACATATTAGCAGCTTTTAATTAAAAAAAATATATTTAAACTATGAAACTCATCACATACTAAATAAATAATATTTTACATTTATGACACAGGTATTTTTCTCTCCCAATTTCTCCCATTTAAAAACTTTTTTTATGCACACATATTTTAGCTGTTTTAATCAAAATAGTTATTTTCCTATTTCTTTCAGTAATTATATTTTTCTATGAAAGGTAGTACCCTATATCCTTTACCAGTTTATATAACTCTTTCTTTGTACAAAATTTATTCTGCCTTTTTAACACTAAGTTACTCTACGTGAAAGGACAGCAATTTAAAGATGCAATACTTTATGTATAAGCAAAAGAACAAATGAATGAAAAACCATTTGTTAAGCATTTATTATATGCCAGGAATTGTAAGTACTGGTGCTAGAGACCCCCAAAAAATAAAAACACCCTAGACAGTCCCTTCCCTCCTAGGAACTTATATTCACATATGTGTGTGAACACACACATGTATACATATACACATGCGTATATACGCATGTGTGTATGTGCTCATGTATATTTATACACATATACAGTATGTATACATACATACACATATATATATGAAGAGGGAGAGGGAGGACTGTTAACTAATGAGTTATTTGGAGTGGAAGTTGCAGGGATGGTGAATAGAGCTACTTGGGAGAAGATTGACAAAACTCCAGGAACATTGGCGAGCATTCATTTGTTTGTAGTTCCAGAACTACAAAAGTTAGGGAGTAGAGATTTCAAGCAAAGGAGATTGGTGAGAAGATAGCTAGGAATTAAAGTATTGTACTGCCATAATGTCTTCCACGTCTGAAAAGAGAAAGAGTGGAGGTACCTTTTCATTTAACTTATTTGAAGCTAAGCTTATTATAATTTTATAGCATTTGGTTTCATTTGCGTTGTTATTTCCATTTACATTGCTTTAGTCACTGCATATGTTTTTCCTGGTTCTGCTTTCTTTAGGGTGAGGGATAGTATCCTTGTGATTCTGCTTGCTCAAGCACTTAGCATAGTGTCTGGCACATTGTAGGGACTTAATAAATGTTTATTGATTGATCGATTCTGCATCAGTTCATAGAAGCTTTCCTGTGTTTCTTCGAATTCCTCAAATTCTTCCTTTCTTATTATGCATTAGTATCTCATTGCATTCACCTAAATGAGTTTGGTTCAGCCCTTCCCTAACCAGTACTTACTTTCTTCCTTCATTCCTTCCATTCTTTCTTCCCATCTTCTTTCTTTCCTCCTTTCCCTGCCCCCATTCACGTTATTTGATGATCATTGCTTTCATCATAGAATATTGCCTCTGGTTACAATGCATCTTGGCACACTGACAGTTCACAAGGTTATGGTTAGGCCTTCTGTGTCACTGTAATGCTAATAAACATTTGGATGTAAGAGAAAATCTCTAACTATGTTTTCTTTTGTTTCCTGACAATAGTTGTTACTGGAGCATTTGGAGTGCCTTGTTTCAAGACATGAGCGGTCACTAAGAATGACGGTGGTGAAAAGACAAGCCCAGTCCCCATCAGGAGTTTCCAGTGAAGTTGAGGTCCTCAAAGCCCTGAAATCCCTGTTTGAGCACCACAAGGCACTGGATGAAAAGGTACAGTATGGAAAGACACTCATATTCAGCTTAACTATGCTCTCTCCTTCATGGCATTCTTACTTTCATCCATTGAAGCTCATGTCTTCCTAAAGTAAGTCATTCAAAGAGATTCCCTAAATGGGCATGAAAAATTAAGAATTTCCCAGGGTCTTTGACACTCCAATTGAACGTTATCATAGGCCTTTCATCACTCTGTTATCTGTAGCCCAACAGAGTTGGTCATACATAATGTGAATTTGTGATTTCAAAGTGCTGGCCCAGATACCCTATCAGAGCGTAACATATTAACGTAGGGTGCTTTGTTGTTGTTATTGTTGTTTTTTCCACCTTCTTCCTCTTTTCTTTAAAAAAAAATCTTTATTATAAGGAATTACTCTCTGGGAGATGAAAAGGGTGGAATATATGGAGGAGACCTCAGCTATGAAAAACAAAAGCTATCACTGCAAATTTATTAAAAAAAAAAAAAGCAAAAACAGCAGAAGACTAAGCAATTTCTCCCCTCCCAGATGGAGATCCTTGCTTAGAGGCTGCGTTTCTTAGCTCTACTGTTCTGTAAGGCCTAGGCTACATTCTGTAAAAGTCACTCCATGTAACCAAATACGATATCGGTACAAAAAACATGCTTTAAGGCATTTTTAAAAAGTAGCTTTAAGCTTTTTCATTGCTGTTGCTGAAATAAATTCTAGTGACATATATAAGCCAGTCTGAGTGTAATACCCTTTGGAGATGATTCAGGTTTATGGTGTGATTTCAATTTTGTAGAATTTAAAAGACTGAACTGAAAAAAACAAATAAGCAGGCTGTACTCTTTGGTGTTTTATAAGCTCAGGACTCTTTTGACATTTCATTGTGAAGTAAGTGACAGGTCATGAACATTCAGTTCCAAACCAGTGATTATGCAGCAGTTTTATTCACTTTGTACCAACGCAGATATGTTTGTTTTTTACTAATACATGTATTTCTTCTTGGTCCTCAACCCTCAGCTATTTTTCATTCTTCCAGAAAGGGCTTATGTGCAACATAGGCATGATGATAACCATAATTTTGCCTTCTAGATTTTTGAGAAATAAATTATATCTTGTTTTTCACTTCAAGCTGTCAAAGTCAACAATTGGTTCATTAACATTTTTCATGTACCAGAATTGGATTTGTATATAGCAGGCCCTGCTGGCATCATTGCCAATGTGGCAAAATTAGGCAGTAATATTTTCATTTCCTGTCATTACTTGCTACTTTGTTAAATTCTCACTTTTCTTGACATGTGTTACGGTTTTGTAATTTTTTTTTCAAGTTGTTTTCAAAATGGGATGGGCTGCCAGTTTTAAGCTCATAAATAAATCTTATTTTGGACTTTTGGCAGGAAGAGACTATAAATACAAATTTTTATGAGACATGATAAACAGAGAGTCAGTTCTGGGTTCAAGCCAGAGTTTTGACACATAGTAACTATATGAATATAGTCAATTCACTCAGCCTTTTAATGTCCCAGGAAATTCTATATGATAATAAATTATAGGCAAGTTATTGAGCTGAGTGAAAGGACTTAACCACATCAGATGTTCATTGTATCACTGAAATCATAGATTTGTACCAAGACAATTAGCAATGATTAAAAATATAAAAGAACAGATTTTAAACACGGTGTCTCTTCCTGAATTAAAGAAGGATTATTGCAAAGCACAATCTTGCTGGATATAGACAGCTAGACAGATATATGTATATGTATATGTGTATGTGTACATGTATGTGTGTGTATACACACACATATAGATAGATGGATAAATATATGAATTTTATATCATGAAAATAAGAATTGTCAACAAATACTAACATTTGAATGTGCAAAATAGCTCATATAAGGAATACAATGTGTAAAAGAAAACAATTTTAGATAGATAGCAAAAACATTCGTCAAACACTTACTATGTGCCAGGAACTACGCTCATCATTGGAGATGCAAAAACAAGTAAATAAGACCGTTCCTGCCTTCAGGGAGCTTGCATTCTAACAGAGGAAAACAAAAAATAAAAAGCTTCATTATCAATAGTTGGTAGTGGGGGGTGGGTAGGGAAAGTGGCTGACACAGGGCAGAGGGCTGCGTGGAATAAGGTAAGTAGTTGATGAGGAGGCAGAGTAGAACAGAGAATGAGCTGAAATGAAATCTGTAAGACTTTAGTATTCTGATCAAAGTAGCAATCAGTCATGTCTTCAGAAGGCTGAAGGTGAATCATGCTTCCTACCTTTTGACAGAGATGTGATATAGAAGTGAGGAATAAGGCAAAGAGTTTTTAACATGGACAAGGTCTCAATTTATTTTGCCTTACTTCATATTATAGAGTTTGTACAAGAGATGGCTTTTCTTTGAGGAGGGGAGTGAAATAATAATAAATATATCTAAAAATGAGCAATGGCACATAGTCATTTTTCATTAACACCTCTTTCTGCATCCCAGGAGAAATCTGACTCCATGATTTTATTAATAATCCTATTAACTTTAGAAGTCCAACAAGGTGATATTTCATTTTATAAGGAAGGTGGAATGAAAATATAAAATATAACCTAGTCATAAATTGGGTGGAATGGTTATTTAGCTTAATGCTGAGATGATATAGTTTTTTTTTTTAATTTAAAAATCTAACATACGATTCATTCTTTCTAAGGGCTCTTTGTAACTTTTGTAATGCTGAAAGAAAATGGTAAAATGTTGACCACAGCAGAATCCCTTGATAATATTTAATGGGTTTTTTTAATATTTGTCTTTAGAGTGAAAACATTAAGCACAATTTGTTGAAGTGGTACTAAAAGAAGAGGTTAAAAACATAATGCTATTTTATGGGTATATTAGATAATTTTTTCATGTGAAGAAATCACTGCTGGCTCCCTCAAACACAAAGCTATTTTAGCCAACTGATCATTTTTAATTCCACTTCCCAATTGATTGAATATTTCTCCTGTTTAGATCTTAACCATAGTACCCATGCTTCTCCTTCTCCCTTTCCTTTCTCCTCCCTCTTCTCTCATTCTTTCATGCACCTCTCTTCTCCAGTGAATCAAATGATCTCTGATTTGGTAAGGATATTGTAAAGAGGATGCTGATAAAAGATGAACTCAATGTCCTCAGTGGTCCCATTCATCTCTAAGATTCCAGTCCTTACTTTCCTCAACCTTTCAAACACAAAATCCACTTTACAGGCTGATGATCCAGCCTAGCCACAGAAGCTACCTCACACTTCTTAGTGCATAATGGAGATGTTTATTTCACTTTCAGACTGACAAAGCTATCCTCTCTGATCACTGCATAGAATTCATAAAGCATGTCTTCTTTACATATTTTTTTCTTTTTGCTTCATTTTTGACTTTCTTAATAAACCTTATGCTTAAAATAATGCCTAGCACATAGTAGGTGCTTAATAAATGCTTATTGACTTGACATTGAGAGGCAGACTGTCATAATTAGAGACAGAATATGAGAACAGTATGTAGTTGTCTCAAGCATTCCCTTCTTTCCTCCATAAAACGTTATATTAGTCTACATCCAATAATGCTGCCTACTGAGTAATCTAATTAAATACTATAACATTTTGTATGCATGTAATATGCCTCAGTTTCCACAATTTTTAAAGGAAGGCATTAGATTAGAAGGCTTCTGAGGTCTCTTCCAGCTCTGTATTTATGATACTATGCTACCATGTTATAGTCTATACCAGGGGTGGGGAACCTGCAGCCTTGAGGCCATGTGGCCCTTTGACTGAATCCAATCTTTACAGAACACATCCTTTTATTAAGGAGATTTGTTATATTAAGGGGATTTGTTCTGTGAAGGCTTCAGTCAAAGGTTCCCCACCCCTGTATACCAACATGCTATTCTAATGCTTTATCTTGGTGTGAAGAGGACCTTGAGTTCTCATTGGCTATGTCATTGGATCACAAACTGGCAGATTCCACAAACCTGGACACATCAATGAGCCATGTGTTTAGGAAGATCTCAGCTAAGTGTGGGAAAACTCATCCTTACCAAAAGGTCAGGCACTGTGGAGTCACATTTTTGCACCTAGAAATTCATAAAAACACCAACTAAAAAAGCAATCAGTTATCAAGTATTTGACAAGTGCCTACTCTTTGTCAGGCACTTTTTTTAGGCACTAGAAACATAAATGTAGAGAGAGTTTCTGCCTTTGTGAAAATTACATTATAAGGCATGAAGACAATGCATTCAGAATTGGGAAAAGGAGTACATAGTGATAATCTAATGGATCTTTGAAGTAAGCAATATTCCATGTATTCAAAATCATAAAATTTTAAAGCCCAGTGGTATGAGTGAATGAATGAAAAAAAAATCATTGTGTCAAGCACTTACTGGCTACCAAGTACTGCACTGAGTGCTGTGGGTAGAAATATCAATGTGAAGACACTTGTTGCTCCACCAAGGTTATCAGTGAAAACAACATACATAATGGGGTCATGGCCAGAGAGATAGATAATTTGGTTTGGGAATTTTCAGGGATGGAGAATGGAGACGAAGGGGAGTAGATTGACATGTACTTTCCTTTAGTAATAACAATATTGATCAGATTATAGTTCTACACCTAGAAGAGAGGGTAGGTGGCTAGTGAGAAGATGGTGGATAGTAAAGTGAATGATATCAGAGGCCACCTAGATATATTGTACCACATGAAGCACTCCCATGGGGTGGGAGTGTGTGTGGGGGTGAATTTTGGAGATGAAAAGTGCTTAATCTTCATCTAGGGCATGAAATGATGGAAGGGAGTAAAGTGAGGCATGGCTGGGCCTACTTTGAAGTTGTGAGCCACATAAGTCACTTGTATGGAATCTGCCTCTGAAATATGGGGTATGCTTTTGATCATTTCTTTTTCAAGGAGGATACAATAAAATTACAATTACTAATAAACTTATATATGAAGATAGAAAGAATTTTCAATAAAAAAAAGTTGAGAATTTACTGATTTAGGGGAGGAGATAGGGTCAGAACCTATTAA